CCTGTATGTCTTCCGTGTTAATGTTGGTACATGTAATATGCTAATTCTGTACTGTGGACATCATTAAGAGTCGTTGTCGGGTGAAAACATCTTTCGCTAACACTGTGTTGACCGTGAACCGGAAGTGTTGGGAGTGGCATCAAGTGCTGGACCGGATGTCCGTGGCATATAGGCTATTGAAGATAATTTTACTGAAGTTAACCTGAACTTTATCTGAAAATCATTAGTGATTCTGGATATAAGAGTTTTCTTTTTAAACAAACGTCTTACTCCTTTCAATAAATAACATAATTACACTTCTGGTTTAGTATCTAATGTCTTCTAACAACAACTGTAAGACTATAATATATAATGATGATGAAACAATTTATTAGTATAAATGAACAAAAATATCAGTGGATTAAAATGAGCACAACTCTTCTCTTGAATCGTGTCACAGCGACTTCCTCGCTCTTGCTGTGGCCGCCAGATGGGGTCGTTGTTAGTCAGACTCACACCTCAAAGCTGTCAGCAGAGAGCCTCTGAGGTTCGTGAGGCTTCACTTGCCCATCACTAGTTTACAGTTACCTTGATTGCAGCTTGTTGCAGGCGGTACAAAGAGTTGACCACAGCGATATTCCTCCTCTGGCCCTCTGTTAACTGACCAATCACCTGGCTGGCATCACCCTGAGTGCAGAGCTGCAGACAATAAGACAATGCGTCAAGTACTGCATGACTCAGACAGGCCACATGCAATACATTCAAGGTATCAATTAAAAATGCTTACTTATAAATCTTTTCTAATCAGCACAATACAAAAAATATGCCTGCATTTTTTTATTATTAACCTTTATTAAACATTTATATTTATTCATTTTTTTACAATTAAATTGTTAAACAAAAAACAAGTATACTAAAAAGGCTTAGAGCTAATTTTAGCAGTGATAATTTGAAATAGCTGTCTTTTATATGACCTTAAATTTTCATACATTGCTGTGACAATATATTTATATAATGCTGCTTCACTCTCGAAATCTGTGGACATAAGTTACTGTGCACCTTCCTTCAGTTTTACTACAGCATTACAATCTGACTGAGGTCTGTGGCATTGATGCCCTGTCCACACAGAAATGTTTTTATTTGTTGTATAAAAACATTAAGTATTAACATAATAGTCACTAAAATCTTTTAAATCTGGACGGAAACAAAGAAAAAGGATGTAATAACTATGTTTGGACTGTATGGGGTGCTGTAATGCTGCTAGGAAAATACACCAGAAACAGGAAGTAAGATACGGAGGAGGCTTTATGGTCCTCCACTGCTAGCATCTGGATTGGGCCTTTTAGTGTCTTTTTCTTTTTCAGCCGTCCTGTTTCTGGAATAATTTCTGCTTCGTCTTAAAATGAAAAACGATAAACCTCGCCTCACATACGTAAAGAACTTTTAATGCATATGGATATGATATAGAATTACTTTTTACCATGAGTGGACATGAAGTACAACAGACACAAACATTTTGATTGTACTAATTTGGGCGTACTTTTAAAGGAGACCAATTATGGGTCCTAGAAATGTTTGTGGTATGTCTGTGGGCTATCCAGACCATGTTCATTCAATTTAATGCACAA